AAATAGTATTACATGCCATACACTAATTCTAGTTCAAGGCCTAATATACTTGCCCTTGTGACAACTTGACAATGTTAAACTAAATCCAATTATCAAACAAGATTATTATCTGCTTGTTGATGTGACAGGAAATTACATCACATGAGTATTGCATGACTCACGTTCTAATCCCAAGATATCGTGACAGCAACAAAATAAGCCCTTATGACTAAATCATATCTTAAATTTATGACAAAACAGTTAAAAGTACAAAATAAATCCTTAATTATACAATCCTAAAATTACTGACATTGGTCACGAAAGTGACCCTGTCACACTAGCATTCTAGCATACTAACTTTCTAACGTACTATAGTTCTTGCAAATAGTAATAGTCAGCACTATAGAACGTCCCCCTTCCCCCCATTAAAGGAGGGGGTGGTCAGAGATCAGACATGACATCTATGTAAGGAATGTAATATGTCAGGAATGTCAACTATGAGGAATGTCAGGAATTTTCACTGACCACCACTCCACAACAGACAAGGGAGGGGTGGGCACAACAATAGTTATAACCCACACTCTGGCACCAACTCTCCATGTAAACATCTGCTGGGTGTTATTATTATCTGGGTGTAAATCATATCTTAATGATGGCCGTTTTACCTGGAGACATGACTCAATCCTTCATTTCCTGGCTATCTAATACACTTCAAATTGCACATGGTTCTACCCTCTACGCTGATCTACCTGGTTTTAAGAGCCCTTCCGTTTTAACTGGTGATGAACTTCGGCCTGATTTGTTGCTGTCCTCAACTAATAACACCTTGTTCATTTTGGAACTGACAKTTGGTTTTGAATCAAATTTAAGTGTGAATGCTGCTCGTAAACAAGACAAATACAAAGAAATTGTAAAAATACTATCTAGCAAGTTCAAGGAAGTAATTTTTGTTAATCTATCAATCAGTGCTCTTGGAGTATTTGCTAAAGAATCTGAAAACTTTATCACTATGCTAGATGATTTAGGTTATGAAAACAATTTCAAGCAATATATAATCAAAACAATAATTAAAATAGCCATTCGATCCACTTATTTCATTTTTTGCCGAAGGAACAAGGATTGGGAAAGTYCAGACTTTATAAAATACTGATTTTTGAAAATTAATGATGTCAGTAATATATTATATATACCTTCATGCATGTAATCATTTATWTATATGTTGTGTGCCTTTTTCTTCAATTTATGATATATATATAATATATATTTAATCTTGTTAGATTCAAGTATGCTTTTGTGAATTACCTACATGTAGCGAGATTCGCAATTGTATTTTATAAGAAAATAAAAGATGGTTTTCATTATTATTATTATTATTATTATTATTATTATTATTATTATTATTATTATTA